CGATTGACTCGAATAACTTGGTTAATTTGAATATGACTTGTTAAGACAAATGAGAGATGCTAACTAGTCAATCAGATGATGCGTTTTAGACCTAAAATTAGAACGATTTATTTTTTGGGTTGATTTAGGGATTTTTGATCAATCGGAACTTGACCCAAATATTAAATGGGTCAACATTTAGACTCTAAACCAACCTATATATTATTTTGATCAACCAAAACCTCCTATTTTTTTAGTTAGGTCTGTGTCAAATCATTTATTGATTCTTTTAGCCATGCCATCAAACTAGACATCCAAGTTATTAGTTAACCTCTAGCATGATAGGTTATATGAATTCAGTGAACCTAGGGGCAGAAGTACTATATATCAGTAGCATATAGTGCACAACAACAACAATATTAATATTTTATGCTACTATATGGGGTTGGCCACATGAATCATTTTTCTCTGTTGTGTTCTACAAGAGTCAAGTTTTATTTAAATCTATAAATCAAAGGTCATTTTTAATATTTTATAACAAAGTCTTTTTAGGTCTAATTCTACCATTTTTAACATAGGTTAGATCTAATATATTTATTATCCTAATTTGGTCATTGGAAGGTCGATATTTTATGTGATGAAAACATCTAAGACGACTCTCTAATCTTATCCTCTATTGGAGATACTTCAACCTTTTCATGTATGTACTCATTTTTCATTCTATCTCTAAGCGTAAACCTACTCATCCAATTGAGCATCTTCATCTCTTCAACACTTAATTTTATGCTTCTCTTTCAATAAATAACATTTTGCATTACAATTCTTATCATATATAATTTTTCCTTTAAATTTGAAGGGTACTCATATCACACAACATGCCTGATGCATTCCTCCACTTCAACTATCCAACTTGAATTCTACTTATAACATCCCCATCTATTGCAACATTATTTTATATAACAAACTCGAGATATCTAAAATGTACACTCTTTTTAATGACTTGTTCACCCAAAGTCACAAACCTACAATTGAATCTATTGCTATTAAAATTGCACTCAATGTATTCAATTTTATATTTACTCAAACAAAAACTTTTAGACTCTAAGGTTCGCCTCCTAAATTCAAGTTTTCTTTCTATTCCTCTAATCTCATTGACAAGAAGAATATCATCAGTAGAAAACATATATCAGGGTTAAATTTTTCCCATATAACATTAGCTCTTGCACGAGTAATCCAAAATTTAAGATTTTGAATTTTGTTCTCAAAAATATTTTTATTAATATTTTTTTAAATGCCCCATTTAATCCTAGGATAATATTTTATTTTGTTTTTTTATATTCAACTCATTTATCTTAAACTCCAAAATCAGTAAGTGATTTTGGGTATATAAACTTTCATTTGGAATGATTTTATAATCTTTATAATTTAAATGATTCTTATAAAGAAATAATTAATTTGAGTTTTACTATGTTCATTCTTAAACTTGATGAAATGTTTTTCATTTTTTTTAAATACGATATTAACAATTATAAAATTATAAGCTAGTGCAAAATCTTAGATGATTATATCTCCTTCATTAGTCGCTTCAAACTCATAGCTACTATAAATGCTTTTAAAAATTTCTACCACTTTACCAATATATTTATTCAAATCTCCTCCAAGAAAAACTCTTTCTTCAAGAAATTTCTTTTGTATTAATTATTTCTAAATCATTTTAAAATTTTAATTTTGAAAACGTATCTAAACCTACTTGAGGAGTATAAACACTAATAATATTAATAATTTTAGCATTAACAATAATATTTAAAACTATAATTCTATCTCAAATTCAATTAATTCCTATAACATTATTCTTCAAACTCTTATCTATAATCACATCCAACATTTTTTCTAGTATGACTCTTACATGAAAATCAAAATTTAAATCCCAAACTATGAATCTCCTTAGCCTTTTCTCTAACCCATTTAGTTTTTTGAATGCATAGAATATTTATCTTACTATGAATCATAATATCTATTAACTCCATTAACTTACTTATTAGAGAACCTATATTTCAAGATTCTATTCTAATTCCAATTTGAAGGATTAGCTTCTTTGCCCACACCAACTATGATGTCCCTTATTTAACACTACATCAGTGCATCGATGCAATAGCCATTGCACACTATTCTCTGTATTAAAATTATACTGTGTTGCTTAGAATTAACACAATGTTATATATATTCGCCTATAATCATTTATATGATGTTTTTTATGATATTCAATGTGAAATCTAGGTATAAAATATTAAGAGAAATTTTGGTATTATTCTTTATGTATTTAGGGTATTACATATAACCATCTCCGTTCACTAATCTATTTATTTTTATCATTTAATTAGTATTTATAGAAAGATGTTTTTATTTGATTCTTGAGGAATCTTTTGATAGGAAATGGATGCACTTTTTAAAAAAATTAGTGAATGAAACACGAAAGTTTGAGAAGAAGATCACCCTAAAATAATTTTTATTGAAAGAACTATAAAGAGAAATGCAAGATACAATTCGATCTTCAATTGGAGAGGAATATCTGGCTCTCTCAAATCCCCAGCCGCCGGCTAGAGCCCAAATAACCTAAGAATCAATCTAAATTCAGCAAACTCCAAAACATCCTCTTGAAATCACCCTATTGTCAGCCTTAAATAGGCTCCCATAATTCCTTCCCAAATCATCCCCTTCCCCTAAATAATTCCCTCTCATATTTGAAATTAAATTAGATTTATTTTCCTAATTAATTCCTCTTAATTATAATTAAAACTTTCCTAAATAATACCCTTAATCCCTTCTCCTCTTCCCTAAATAATTCCCTCTTAGATTTTTATTTAAATTATATCTCTTGCTTAAATAATTTTCTTTCAATTATATTTTAAACATTTTATAATAATTTTCTTTTGATTCAGAACCTTCATAAACAAATTCCTCTTGATTAGGAAACTTCTTGATTCTCTCCCAAATAAATAGGCCGGTCCATCAATACTCCCCTATTAAAGTGTCACCTTGTTCTCAATGTGGAATGAAGACAACTGCTATTGAAGCACTTTACTATTAGCACTGGACTGAAAAATAAATTAAAACTGGGTCGAATGATCCCCTCCTGCATCTCCCTAATCAATCTCTCGATCTCATCCTTCTGGATTTGGGGATGGTGGTACAGACGAACACTGATAGGTGAGACTCCTTCCAGAAAATCACATGCTCTCATTCTTGTGGAGGAGGCAACCCTTGAATTGGCTGGAATACCTTTCGATGCTATTGGAGTTATTGAACCATGTCTGGTGCTTCTATCTTCTCCTCATCTTCTTCTCCTTCCAAACTTTTTAGCTCTACAAAAAATCTCACTTCTTCACCCTTTCCCCTCCTTGGAAATGAATCCAAAGATGGCATCTACTCTTCTTTCCCCAAAACATCTACCTCTCAATCCTCCCTCATTGTCCCTATATTAGGGCTTCCCCCACTTCCCAGTCCAGTCAATGATGCTCACTTCTCCGATGTTGTCGGTTGAGTGTGAAACTCCAATAGTTTCCTTATCATTCCTTTTAGGTTGGAAACTTTTCCTCCATTGCTGTCATTCTATCCTCAAATGCCGATTTGAGTTGGCCAACTTTTCGTTTAATACGCTCTTCCAAGGCATCAACTTTTTTTACTGCTATAGGTCCCAAAAAAAAACTCTAATACCAATTTAATAGGAAGTGGATGCACTTTTTACAAAAATCAGTGAATGAAACACAAAAATTTGGGAAGAAGAATGCTCCAAAATAGTTTTTATTGAAAGAATTATAAAGAGAAATGCAAGACACAATTGGATCTTCAATTGGAGAGGAAGATCCGACTCTCCCAAATCCTTTGCCGCTGGCTAGAGACCAAATAACCTATGAATCAATCTAAATTCAGCAAACTCCTAAATATCTTTCTGAAATCACCCTATTGTTAGCCTTAAATATGCTCTCATAACTCCCTTCCAAATCAACCCCTTTCCCTAAATAATTCCCTATCATATTTGAATTCAAATTAGATTTATTTCCCTAATTAATTCCTCCCAATTGTAATTAAAACTTTCCTAAACAATCCCCTCTTAATTCCTTTTCCTCTTCATTAAATAATTCCATCTTAGATTTTTAATTCAAATTAGATTTCTTGCTTAAATAATTATCTCCTAATTATAATTTAAACAGTCCTAAATAATTCACCTTTGATTAAAAACTTTTTTAAACAGCTCCCTCTTGATTAGGAAACTTTCTGATTCCCTCCCAATCAAATCGACTGGTCCATCATCTTTTAATTTATCTTTTTTGTGAATTTGTAAAAAATGATTAGAAGATTATAGTGATGCATATTAGTCCTCATCTTCCTTGTGTGAAGCTGCTTCTCTTGATCAAGCGTCCTTGTTTTTTTTAAAAGGGTCTCCTGCTTGTTCTTTCTTTTACCTTGGGCTAGTTTTGGATTGGATGAGCAACCGATGAGGCAAATTGACAGGTCCTTTTGGAGTTATGCAGTATCTCAAGCAGAGTAGGCTGGTGCTGTTGCTATCACCGCATGTTCACTTATATTCTTTGTCCTGTTTATGCCTGTATTATCAATCATACATATATGTAGATATTTGTGATCTTGCGTCATCTGGTGTGGAATTCCAAAGGTGGTACATCAACTTGTAGATCTCCATCAACTTGTAGATCTCAGTAGATTCTTGAGGGTGTTATAGCATAGTAATTTAATAATTTTATAGAAGCATGTCTCACTCTATTTTTCATTATTAACAGCTCTTCAAAAGGATTTGTTAATTACTTAGAAATTAGTTTTTCAAACAAAGAATTTGCTGCAGTTACCTTAAGGTTCTCCTTAAAAAGGCTTGGGCCAAGATTTATTGTTCAAAATTATTCCTACATATATATATATATTTTTTTTCAAACTGCATTATATTTATTTCTTGTTTGTTTTTTCTTGCACATTTGGTGGTTTTCATGTTCTTACAAATTTCTTTCTAGGTGATGACAAAGTTTTGCTCAGAGCGGATTGCAAAATATGCTTTCGAATATGCCTACCTTAACAACAGAAAGAAGGTTACTGCTGTGCATAAAGCCAACATAATGAAACTTGCAGATGGTTTGTTTTTAGAATCTTGCCGGGAAGTTGCAACAAAGTACCCGGGGATTAAATATAATGAAATTATTGTTGACAATTGCTGCATGCAACTTGTTTCAAAGCCTGAGCAGTTTGATGTCATGGTGTGCCACAAAACACTTGATATTTATTTTGACATATGTTTACCTTTCTCATATGCCTATTTGATAGGTTGCTGATCTCTATCGTATTTCATGCTAATGCCAGATATTATTCAATGTTAAATCTAAACAGTTTTTTTTTATTTTTTATTTTTGTGTATTGTCAATATTTCTTGTTTTTTGGATGGGAAGTGCTGGTCTTGATTTGGCTGGGGCCAATTATCATGTTTAAGCTCTTAGCAATGCTATCATATCTAGTATAGAGGTTTTAGGGACTATTTGGTTGCCTAAAAAAGGAATGCAGTGTAAAATAAATCTAGTATAAAGTAAATGCAGTGTATTTAGAATACTTTAGGGCTGTTTAATTATCTGCAAAGTAAATGTAGGGGAACTGGTTTTCTTGTTTGGTGAGGTATATCCACAGTAAAGTAAAAGCAATTTGTTTTTAATACCTTGGTTCTGTTTTGTATGATGTGTAGTATCAAGTACAATATAATATTGAAATGCAATAACAAAAATATAATTCAATATTTTAATATAAGATATTTATTATTTAAACAATGTGAAATTTCATATATATACTTGTCAACAGCGCAAAATGGTGCTTGCTATGGCTCATGCACAGCGTGGCGCACCTACGGCGCTAGCTGCATGGTGCGGCGCACCTGTTCAAGTTTGCGTGTGCCATTTGTGCCATGTGTGCTTAATGACTCATGGCGTAATGGCGCACGACACGCGCAATTTGAATTTTAAGGATTTTTTTAATATAATTATAAATAATTTTTAATATTTATATATTTAATTTCTAGAATAATGCATTAATTAATTTTAAAATTATTTGATATATTTAAAATAGTTTAGCTAGGTTTTATTAGACTTTATTTGTATTCACCCATTTGTATTTCGTAAATCCAAAATATATGTTAAGGCATTATAGCTTAAAATATATATATATATATATAATTTAAAACATACCTAAATCTTATACAAAAGCCCCAAAAAAAATCACACATTCTTGCACCCCAATGCCGCAACAACTTCCTCTCAATTGCTTCGACGTCTAGCCCACCGCCTTCACCATGGCCATCACCGTCGTAGCCTTTGTAGGGGATCACTAGAAAGCTACACGCCCTCATCATCTCGTCTTAAAATTTTGAAGTATTATCTTAGATGAAGATACTTAAATAAATGAAGAAGAAGCAAATTGAGAAGTATTGAACCATACAGGATGAGGCACAAAAGAGATCAATTTGTTATGACAATGATTCAAATAAAAACCCCTCTTAGTAAAGATCCCTCACTCTCACTCTTAATAACTGGTTAAGCGAAGAAAACTTGCATGATCTTTGTAATGCAACAATTGAGACGGACTAGGAAGAAATAAGATTCGGGAGAGAGTTCACCTTTTGTTTGGATTCGGATGAAAGTTGCCACTGAACGGGAGGTTGTTGTTGATCAATAGCGGTTGCAAGAGAGAAGAGGAGTCATTCCACGCACTCTTCGACGGAGTGGTCATTCTTAAGGTCTATGTTGAAGAATGGAGAGCGGATGATGTCAATTAACCCTTGATCGTCGAAAATGAAGCCATGATCTTGTTCTGGATCAGCCATACATGAGGGGACAACAAACTATGGATTGGGGGAACTTCTGACAACAAACAAAGGACTTCGGGACGTCAGGACAACAAATGACCTTTGCTGAAATTTTTGGACAGCAGTTTTTATATGTCCATGAAATCCTGACAGCAGTTTGTGAGGTGGAAAATCTTCTGAATCGAGGTTTGATGGTAGGGAATAGTAGGACTAGTTCCAAGTAGAGAGGGGAGGTAGTGGGGACCGACTATAGAGGAAGGAAAGGGAAAGTAGCTCCGGATTTTGTGTTTTGATAAAGGAATGGAGGCAATTCAAAATCTGAAATTTAATTTCAGATTTTAATGATTGGGGAGGAGGGAGAAGGTTAAATTCTCCATTAATTGGGGATAGGGAGGGGCGACAAACTCTAATGGGAGGGGATTTGATTGGGAGCATTAATAAGAAAGAAAGAATTAGAGGAGAGAGTGGTGGGGCCGGCTGCTAAACCTAGGGGGAGGATTTATGGATTGCTTGATTTGGAATTGTAAAATAGGAAAAGCGATTTAATTAACTCCTATTTAAAATCCCAACTGGCATAATATGGGGAACTTTTCTAAAATAACTTCCCTATTTTAAGAAATACTTTCAAATTAAAATTCATTTGAATTTAAGAAAAAAGAAAGACTTCCAAATTTAAAAGGGATTAAATTAGGAAAGTTTTAATGCTTGGTTTGGAAATTGGAATTTGAAGGGGAGGGCGTGGGCTAGCGGCTTGGGGAAAAGGAGTGGGGAATAGAGTTGGTGGCTTGGAGAGGGGAGATGGTGGATGATGGTTGGTTGAGGCGGCCTAGGGTTTAGGGTGAGGTTCGGCCAAGGGAGATGAGAGGGAAGGGGAGTCGGCTTGGGGTTTTGAGGTTGTGGGGTTTTGGCCGAGAGAGACATAGGGGATGGGGCCAGCGGTTTGGGGAAAAGAAAGGGGAGGAAGTGGGTGGAGGTGGACCACGAGCCTTGACGCTTCTTGCGGCTGGTGGGTAGTATGTTACCCTCTCCTAGGGACTTGAACCTCTCACCAAAACTCTCTAAGCTCTCAAAACACAATTGCATAAAATTTTCTTAAGAATATTCATCATCCCCCTAAAAGGAAGAGGAGGGGGCTTTAAATAGCCAAAATACAATAGCAAGACAAAAGACAAAAGTGCCTCTAAGGGTCACAAACAACTACTACCTCAAGTGAGGGTAAAAATTAAAAACTGTGATAATAAATCAAACTTCTTGTAGTTGGTGGGTAGTATGTTGCCCTCTCCTAGGGACTTGCACATCTCACAAGAGCTCTCTAAGCTCTCAAAACACAATTGCATAAATTTTCTTAATAATATTCATCATCCCCCCCCCCAAAAGGAATAGGAGGGGGCTTTAAATAGTCAAAATACAATAGCAAGACAAAAGTGCCCCTAAGGGTCACAAACAACTACTCCCTCAAGTGAGGGTAAAAATGAAAAACTGTGATAATAAATCAAATACACATATAAATCTAATACAAATGATAACTCAAAAATAAAGTGGTGTGATCGTGGCCGTAGATCGTCGGCCCCTTCTCTGGTAGACTCTCCATGGTCGGATGTCCTCATCACCTAGCCTTATGTGTACCCTGGTAGACTCTCCATGGTCGGATGTCCTCATCACCTAGCCTTATGTGTACCCTGATATTGGTTTCGCTTGTCAAGTACAATCAGGAATTGAGGTCCTAGCCTATGTACCCTAGTTTATGTAGGAGCATTTGGTGCAAATGCTTCCAAAGCCCCAAGTTGATGGGAAGTTTGCAAGCAAGTTTGATGGCCAAGGTACTAACAATTACAAAATCTATGGAATTTGCCTGGCCAATCAGCACGGAATTCCCCTACTTATTAGTTTGTAGCTATGAGGAGAGATGGGCTAACATATGGGACAAACCTCTCAACACATTGGTCAGTCCTCTGTCATTTTTAAGGAATAAAAGAGTTGCGTACATTGCTCTTGCATCCTTCTTCTATGGAGAAATAAGTCTAGTAACATTCTTTATGAGCTATTAAATGCTTGATCATATAATCCTGCATTTTATTGCTTCTCTTTTTGTTGGCTTAACGCAAATAGTTAAATTGTAATTTGAATGCTTATGCTTTGTTATGGATGTTGACATTATCATATTTGGGGTCAGGATAATGTGATGGCTAGAAAATGCACCATGCTCATGAAAGTATTAACCAAGTTATCAGTAGGCTATCCTCCAAGAGGTTATGCGAGTACCTTGCTGAAAGATGACCATTTCCATTGCTGGTTCAATTATTTTGAATTGTGTCTAATCAGCATCCACATGCTTAGTAGCGGGAAAAATCAGAAGGTTGAAAGTTGGGTAGGGACACGTATTTCAAAATATGGCCATGGAAATTAAATTGAATGTTTTTAATTTTTGAACTGTAGCAAGTGATAGGGTTTCCTTTGATATCTATTAACAGTGATTTGAGAAGGAAAATTCTTTATAATTTTTTTTAGGGGCAATGATTTAATTATTAAATTTTTTTGCTGCTGTAATCAAAACCTAGATCTCAACTTGGATGTTAAGGGGCAATTCAATTATGCTATTTGCTCAATTTTGAGCGGGTGTGATGATGTTTAATTCAAGGATAAAGTAAAAGAATAATGAAATGCAGATGAAGAGAACACTATAAAATGTTAGCAGGATTAGGTAGCATGTTACATACAATGCAGTTTGTTATCATATAAAGACAACTTAATCATGATGACAGCCTATTTATAATTGGTTAATCTTGTTTTCTTGATGTGATTAATGTGCTCTGCAGTTATTCTCTTGTATGTATATATATATATATATATATATATATATATATATATATTGAGATTTAATTACAATCATGTGATACTGAAGATCATGACTTGAAATGATGGTGTGGATTTGTGCAATTTAAGATTCATTTTTTAATATTCTTTGAAGTTTCATGAACTACTTGTGTGTAGGCCTACCCTAATAAATGTGTTGCTATATATTATGCATTTTAATGACACCTGAGGACCTGCAAGAATTCCAGACCAGGAAACAAAAACAAAACAAAGATCCTGAAACAGTGAAAAACAGAGAGGCTCACCTCTCGAAATGAGAAAGGGAAGGAGTTCTTACTCCAGGCGAATTTCTATAGAAATAGTTGTAAAAGCTGATTCTACTACATTCCTTACTACCTTTATATTTCCCTATGATTTTGATACTATGTAAAATATGATAATAGGAATTACTAAATATAGTGGAGCAGCAACTAAGCAGATAAAAGAAATAATATCACTACTGTAACCGAAATGGCAGAAGAGCGTGGAGGAGAAGTTGAGTGGTATGATGTGCCTCAGCTCCAACGTATGTGCTGCATTAGTCCTCCCCGGCATCAGAAGAGCTCGACTCCGACGAACTGATCGTAATCAAAGATGCGTCTGGTGGCTTATATAGCCAAATATCGGAAACGTTAAATGTAGGGGAGGTATTGTGGCCAGCTGGTAACTCTACTGTATAGCGTTGTTGTTGATTTCGGTAATGATTGGAACAGGACCAATCTTGCGGCGGCTCAGTTTGTTGTAGGTGCCCGGAGGAAATCGTTCATGCTGCATTCTAACCATCACAAGGTCTCCCACATTAAATAGTGTCTGTCGACGGTGGCGGTCGACTGCCTCCTTATATTTCAAATTGGCTTGATTTAGCTTTTCGTGGACATCAGCCAACATCTTGGAGTATTGGTTGGTAAAATTGGTGGCGGATCCAGACTTGCATTTAGGTAACACAGCTACATCCACGGCAATGTTAGGTGCTTTGGTATACACAATATTGAAAGGAGGCTTACCAGTGGATCGATTGACCGTGGAGTTAAAGGCAAACTCGACTGTACTTAGCATTTCTTCCCACTGTTTCGGGTGGTCTTGAACTAGGCAGGGAAGCATACTACCCAACGTGCGGTTCACCATCTCGGTCTGCCCATCCGTTTGAGGTTGATAAGCAGAGCTGAGCCGTAAATCGGTGCCTAGCCGCTTCCAAAGCTCCCTCCAAAAGTGGCTTATTAATTTGACATCTCGGTCTGATGTGAGACTCCTCGACACACCATGAAGACGGATAATCTGGTGAAAAAATAGATGAGCAATATGGAGAGCATTAGAAGTTTTATTACAGGCGACGAATTGTGCCATCTTAGAGAAGAGGTCGACGACGACCATAATTGAATCATTGCCCCTATTTGTCCGCGACAACCCAAGGACAAAATCCAGGCTGAGGTCCTCCCAAATTGAGTCTGGAGTGGGTAACGGTAAGTACAGACCGATGTTTTGAGCCTTGCCTTTGTAGCTTTGGCATATCGAGCAGCGATCTACGAAACGAAATACATCGCGGCGAAGGCGAGGCCAATAGAAGCGACACTTCAACTGAGCCAATGATTTGTCCCGACCCATGTGAGCAGCAAGCGCACCGCAGTGCACTTCCCGAATGAGATGTTGGCGCTATGACAAGATAGGAATACACAGCAGGTTGTTGTGGAAGAGGAAACCATGCCTAATAGAGTATCCTGGAGTTGCTTCATTTAGCTGGCATTTGTTCCAAATGTCGAAAAAGTCAGGGTCGGTTGCATATAACTCCTGTAGGCACACCAAACCGGAAAATTCTGTTTGGAGTTGAGTAGCTAAGAGGGCCTTCCGACTAAGTGCATCTGCTACTTTGTTATGCTGTCCGGCTTGATGCTTGAGTGCAAATGAGAATTTCTAAAGGAAGGCCACCCATCGAGCATGCATTCTATTGACATGTTTCTGATTATTGATAAATTGGAAAGCTCGATTTTCAGTACAGAGTATGAACTCTTGAGGGAGAAGGTAGTGCTCCCACTGTTTAAGCGCTCAAACAAGAGCATATAATTCTTGTTCATAGGCCGACCAACGTTGACGTGTGGGGCAAATTTTTTCACTCAGGTAAGCAATTGGCTTGCCGTCTTGTGACAGTACCGCCCCAATTCCGACAGATGATGCATCAGTTTCCACCATAAAGAGCTTGTCGAAATTGGGTAAAGAGAGAATTGGGGCTGTTGTGAGAGCTGTTTTAATGGCAGCAAAACTGAGTTGTTGTGGTTCTCCCCAGCTGAATGTTTTCGACTTTAGACAGTCAGTAATAGGACTCATTATCGTGCTAAAACCATTTATGAATTTACGATAAAAGTTTGCCAAACCATGGAAACTGCGGACTTCGAAGAAGGAACGCGGCGTCGGCCAATTCTGTATTGCGGCCACCTTGTTTGGATTTTCCCGGAAACCTTGCCCCGAAATGATAAACCCCAAGAATTGCACTTGAGGCGTGGAAAACTCGCACTTATGCAAATTGAGGAACAATTTGTTGGCTTGCAGAATGCTGAAGAGCTGTGTGAGGTGTTCCAAATGCTGCACCAAGGTATTGCTATACACCAAGATGTCGTCGAAGTAGGCAATGCATAACTTCCCCCAAATTGGTTTGAGGATATCTTGCATCATTCTCATGAAGGTGGATGGAGCGTTGCATAACCCGAACGGCATCACTCTCCATTCTTATAACCCGAAGGGCGTTTTGAAAGCTGTTTTCCATTCGTCGCCAGGACGAATCCGAATTTGATGGTAGCTGCTTCGCAAATCCAGTTTAGAAAAAATTGAGGAGCCTTCCAACTCGTCTAGCAGTTCATCGATTCGGGGCACTGGAAACCGATATTTCACAGTGATCTTGTTTATGGCTCTGCTGTCAACACACAAATGCCATTCGCCATTTTTCTTTGGTACTAATAAGGCCGGAACGGCACAACGGCTGATGCTCGTTTGAATGAGCTGTTTATTCAAAAGCTCCTCAATGATAGCCTGCAGTATCTGCTGCTCCTTGGGATTTAACCTATAATGAGGGAGGTTCGGTAAGGTGGCACCCGGTACCAGATCAATCTGATGCTGGATATTCCGTAGGGGAGGGAGCGAGTCAGGAAGTTCGTTCGGGCTAATGCTACTGAACTCCTGTAGTAGACGGCGGACTTCCGGAGGGGCCTCCAAGGACTCAGAGCCAGGAGAATCCACTATAACTAAAGCCCACATAGGAACTAATTCTTCCAAGTGAGCAAGAGGCTAGGACCCGACACCAACTACATTACTGATGATTGTGGTTGATCAGCCAAGGCCGGTCGGTTTTCACGGGGTCCTGGCAGCAGCCTGAGACGTTTTCCCTTCCAATCTTGTGAGTATGCATTGGCCCGACCATCATAGATAGCGCCTGTATCGAATTGCCTTGGTCGGCCAAGAATTAGGTGGCACACATCCATATCTAGCACATCGCAGACGTAATGGCGCCCAATAGAAAAAGTGACTTGGCACATTTCTGTAACAAGAATATCAATTCCTCTTTTGACCCAGCTGATCTTATACGGCTGCGGATTCTTTGTTGTTTTGAGCTGAAGGGTTTGAACCACTGAACGACAGATAATATTTTATGTACACCCGCTGTTAATAAGCAGGTCGCACACCTTCCCTCTCACAGTGCATCGAGTTTTAAAAATTGTGTGACGTTGAGTAGCATTGGGGTGTCTAGGTGCAATTAGCAGCTTCTCAAGAACACATACCAAAGGATCGCCATCGTCACCTTCCAAGTCTTCAACAACCAAATCATTCGGCTCGGCTTGATCCTGTAGCGCATCCCCCTCTTCCGTTTCTAGCAACTATGACTGTTGCCGCTGAGGACACTCATTGGACTTATGTCCTGGCTGAAAACAACGAAAGCATTTCAGTGTACTGGGCTTGGCATACGGATTATTCTGCTGCAGTATTTTTGACTTATGCTGGGACTTGTTCTCCAAATTCAGTGCGGGCTGTTTGGATTGTGTTGGGGATGGCAATAGTGGGGAAGTATTACTAACGGTTTGGAACTGAAGGGAACTTCCTTTCGTGGCGTCAGGTGTGGAATCAGGAACTTGGCGTTGAGTGAAGGGAGTTCATGTGGGCCGATTGAGCTGCATTTAAGCTCGGAGGGCGAAATTGATGGCCTGTGATAATGACCACATGGAATTTAATTCGAGACAGTCTTGAATGCTGTATTTAAGCCCTTCGATATATTTAGCGACCAGCTGATTCATTGTTTCTTTCAAATTGTTCCTGGCGCTTAGTCTATGGAACTCTTCGGTATAATCACTTACCAAACGATTGCCCTGAACACATTGTTGATACTTCATGAAGATGATCTATTCATAATCAGTGGGAAGAAATTGAGCTCGGGAAGAAATTGAGCTCGGAGGAGTTGTTTCATTCATACCCAGCTACGAACGGGACCTCTACCTTCCCTATGCCGCACTGCAACAACTGAGTCCACCACGCGCTTGCCCTGCTGTGGAGTCTACAGGCCACATACTTAACTTGCTTTGTTGGCTCAATTTCCATGTATTCGAAGAAGTTTTCCACAGCCTTCTCCCAATCCAGGTAGTCCTCAATGTACAAATTACCGTCAAAAAAAGGTATATCTACTTTGACCTTAAATTCTGCTTGGTGTCGTGGCGGTAAATGACGTTGTCGATGCCTGAATGGATCTCCCTGATGCTCTAGATCAACATTTTCTTCCTCCGTCTCGCTGCCGAATCCCTCTTGTTGCCGATATAACTCTTCTTCTGAATCCGAATCTCTTTGTGCAGGAATGGGAATTCGGCGCTGGTGCCGATCAACTCCCAAACTACGTCGGCCACCGGGAACAATTGGCGGTGCCTGTTCCCGACGTGGTTGAAGATTTGTGTCAGCCGCCTGATTGAGGTTTAGCTCACGGCGCAGCGTTACCGAAAGACGTTGCACATCTGTTGTCAACGATTTCAGTTGGCGCAAGATGGCAGTCTGGTTTGTCCACAGCGTCTCAAAGCTCCGATCATCATCGGTGGCCGGTTCTTTGCCTCGTTCTGTCATCCCGTTCGTCTGGAGGTGCTGTCTCTGATACCAGATAATGTCACCTGAGGACCTGCAATAATTCCAGACCAGGAAACAAAAACAAAGATCCTGAAACAGTGAAAAACATAGAGGCTCACCTCTCGAAATGAGAAAGGGAAGGACTTCTTACACAATGCGAATTTCTATAGAAATAGTGTAAAAGCTGATTCTACTACATTCCTTACTACCTTTATATTTCCCTATGATTTTGATACTATGTAAAATATAATAATAGGAATTACTAAATATAGTGGAGCAGCAACTAAGCAGATAAAAGAAATAATATCACTACTGTAACCGAAATGGCAGAAGAGCGTGGAGGAGAAGTGGAGTGGTCTGATGTGCCTCAGCTCCAACGTATGTGCTGCATCACATTTGGATCCTTTCCAAATGCCATGGAAATTATCGTATCAACCATACAATCCATTTGCGGCTGCTGGGATTTGACTCCACCAATATTAAGGTGATTCTGAAAAAAAAAAAAAAAGAATCGTTCCCAGCCATCCCAGTGGATGGACGACTGAGATGAGGGAATTTTATCATATAATTAGAATTGTAATTTGGGGAGAATCTACTTCCATTGTTTCACTTTTAAGTTCATTTCTGCAGTTAAATTTATTTGGATTGATTCATAAAAGATTTCAGGTCCTGATTATCCACTTTGAAATAATCCATAGTCTCCAAATTTTATGACTACTAATGTTTCATTCACCATTGTTTTAACTCAGGGCTCTATTTTATTTGCAGGTCACTCCAAATTTGTACGGGAATCTTGTAGCAAATACTGCTGCAGGTATTGCTGGAGGAACGGGTGTCATGCCTGGAGGTATCAGCTCAGCACAAGCCCTACTACTCTCTCTTTTTTAATTGTCTATTGATGGAAAGTCATTATACTTGAAAAATAGATTTACCACATGTATTTGTGGCAGATTGCATCATTCAAAATTTTGTTTAGCAGTAACCTCGGTTCCTTTTTGAAGATCTTCCAGCCGTTTCATCACATATAATTGCTGGAGGAAAGGGTGTCATGCTTTGGTCGCCCATGGACGTCACCATATTTGGACTTTATAGTACATTCATTTTATTTCAAACTAAAAAAAAAAAACATTCACTTACATTTATTTTATACTTATCCAAATAACATCAAATTTCAAACTTAAAAAAAAAAAAAAAACATTCACTTACATTTATTTTATACTTATCCAAATAACATCAAAGTATTTATTTTACTCTGCATTTTTTTTACACTCCATTCCTTTTACATTACATTCATTTTTTAGCCACCAAACAACCCGTAAATCTTTTTATTTTATTGTGACATTAGCATGTTTGTTTTAATATTGAGAATATTAATATGATGGTAAGTTGTGATTTACATGACTTCAGCTCGTCTTATTGAATGCCTTCTTTTAATATGCTAGTTCATTCATGCAAACCTAGAGTCCTGCTCTAAAATCTGGTTCACCTTGGAACGATGCTTACAAACCATGAACAGATCGCATGTTCTTGAACTTAAGAATGAGCTGCATCAACTCAAAATGAGAAAGACATCCATATTTCAGCATCACTTTGAAATCAAACAACGTGTTGATGCTATCAACCCTGTTGGATATCAACCCTGTTGGTTCTACGATTGATCTCAAAGATGTATACACTCAATGGCCTCCCGCCTGCATATAATGCGTTCAAGATTGCAATTCGCATGAAACTTCATCCCATAAGTCTAGATGACTTATATGCCTTGCTGTGTAGTGAGGAAGTTAACCCATCTACTGACTAATCTTCTGAGTACACTGCCACTAATCGAATGAGCTCTTCATTTACTCTTATGGCATACCACACGCCAATAGTGCAGTAGGGTTCTACAACAGGCAATTAGTGGAGCAAGGTATTATTATAATGTAAGATGTATCTGCTAACACCGCCCCTCAAGTTAACAATTTGTCATGTATCGTTAACTTGCTATGAAATTGAATGAACCGAGGAATTGATAACGGTTTGGTGAAGATATTTTTCGGTTGATCGAGTGAGGCTATATGATAAACTCAATGTTTAAAATTGCGTATTCGGGTATTGAGGCATTTCTCATTCGTGAGGCGAGGCGTAAGCCTAAGGCGTTTTGAGACGTAAGCCTCAAAATCAAAAGATTGCGTACTCATAAAATGATAAATTTTTTATATACTAATGAGTGAATAATATAAAACATAAAAAAGCATAAGATATGAAGTGAAATCAAAATATCCTAATAATAAGACAACATGAAATATAGTTCTAACTCAAAATTCTATATTTCCCAGATCCCAGTATTCTTTTCATTAACATATAATTCAAATTTCCAAAAAATAAATAGCAATAACATATCACATAAGAACTCAAAAGTCATAAGCACTGTCATCACTAAGGGGTTCTTCATTTGAATCATCATTATGATGAACTGCTCTCTCCCCTTCCTCCTCTCCTATAGAGTCCAATGTCAGGCATTTACTTCAAGATTTATGTAAGTTTTAATATATATATAGCGTGAGGCATACGTAAGCCTCATGCTGGTGAGGCGAGGCAGGCCTCAACCAAGTTGAGGCGCAAGCCTCATAAAAAAAACTCAAGGCGTAAGCATCGAGGTGTTTTTTATTGGAATTGCGCAAATGCGGGCCTCAAGGCGAGCCTCATATTGCGCAATTTTAAACCATGGATAAACTACAATGTGTTGGTCTTTGATGCAATCCCGAATGAAGTGGTAGTCAACTTCAATATGCTTAGTACGGATATGAATGACAGGATTATGAGGTCAGGCAATAGTGGTGGTCTTGTCATAGTAGACTGGAGTAGGAGAAGTGGGAGAAATCTGAAATTCAGTCTTCTTAGCCGCATAAGATCACCAGTAAGTGAAAGCTGCTTTAAAAAATAGTAAAAAATGTTCCAAATAAAACCTAAGTCACGAACCTCCGTTCTATTATAATAAATGATTGAGTAGAGCAATGTTAATTAGCTACATCCATTGATTTGGGTTGGTTAACATTGTGCCTTCAAGCATTACAAAATTTAGGACTAGCCAGTTACACCAAGTGACCCTGGTATTACGGAAGTCGTATTTGAATCCTCCGTGGCCCAATTGGGTTCCCATGGGGCGGAGGGAACAGCTAAGGATCATCAAAGGGAAATTATAAATTTGTCATCTTTCTTGAGGTACATGGCTGATGATGTCATGAATTTGTGGTCAACTATGATTTACAATTTGGTTGTACAATCAAGATTATTATTCTGTGTTCCACCTTAAATTACTAGTCATTAGATGAAGCTAACATGCTCCTAAATCAATTTTGTATATTAATATCAATCCTGCCATCTGATCCTAAGCATTTTAGTAATAATACTTACGAAGTAGTTGGTTTCAGGCAATGTAGGGCAAGACCATGCAGTTTTCGAGCAAGGTGCTTCCGCAGGCAATGTAGGTAATGATAAACAAGTGGAGCAAAAGAAGGCGAATCCCGTTGCTCTTCTCCTCTCATCTGCTATGATGTTGAGACATCTCCAGTTCCCATCATTTGCTGACCGTCTTGAGACGGCTGTTAAGGGAGTGATTGCACAAGGTAAATACATGACCAAAGACCTCGGAGGTAGCAGCAACACACAAGAAGTGGTTGATGCAGTTATAGCACAGCTTGATTGATTGGTTGCCTTGTCAGTGTTGTATCCCCCACTTGGTTAAATCTTAAAAATCATTTTTTGACATTGCACATTCTAACAATCCTCATCTTATATATAGAATTTTATTTACAATAATCTTATTGCGGATCTACTTGTATTGAGTTTCCATCTCTCCGGGAAAAGAAGAAGTGACTATAATTTGGAAAATAATCAACAGTCAACGAATTTTAGTTGGTGGTTGCATCGTTTCTTAAGTTTTGGTCAATGTTTAGCGGAAATTTATTTTATTATTATTATTTTTTTCTCTGGAACCTCATGGTGAAGTCATATGGCCAATTTGGCAGTAATTTGTTTTTTTGCTTGATTATTTCGTTATGCATATTGTTGCTTTATTTGAGCTTTTGAAGTTGAAATAAGTCAGGGCACTGGTGCATTTCTTTCGTTTGTAGACGATGATATACGAAATTGAACAAATTACGCAGCTAAGTGCGATGTGTGTAAACCAGAAGGACCATAAACAACTTGGAGCTTTATTGACTTGTTGCCGAGTATATATATATATATATATATATATATATATTAAAATCATCAATTGTTGCCTTCACTTGAGATTGTTTTCAGGAAATGGCATAGGTAAGCGCACTTTCAATCTATCATCATCATTAGACTTATTCAAACTATAAAAATAAGTTTTGTGTGCATTTCTGTATATATGTGTAGGTAGGAGCTTCAATTCTGTACAATAAGTTGCAGGTGTACATACACTATTCCTTGATTCTAGAAATTTGGGTGACTGGAATTGAAGTCAAATCGGAATTTAATCTTAGCCATCTATTCTTAAATGTATGATTGAAATTAGGGAACTTAAGAGGTGAGTTCCCATTATAATTGTAGAGGACCCAAACTCTTGGAGCCAACTTTTGTTCAAAATTTTCTTATAAAGGAGACAAACTTTAGCCAACAATATGAAGAATGCAAATAATAATTAAAAAAAAAAAAACCACTTCTTATTGTAAAGATAATCCGGTGATTTAAAAAAAAAAAAAAAAACAAAATAATCCGGTGATTTTTATATCACAAGCAAGCAAAATTTATAGAAGAGATTAAGCTTAAGCAGCATGTTATATGGTTATGACTGTATAGATTAGATGTATGAGTTTGATTTGACTTTTAAAACTAAATATTTATTGGCTTCTTACGTGGAATTAAATATTAAATTAGCTTTGTGGCTCCCTTGATTGAAATTGGCCTGGTGCCCTGTTGCTTGCTTTCAGTTGGTAATAATAATAAATAGTTGGCAAGTGAATCTTTCAAATGTAAAGAAAGATATATTCATGTTTGATGTTGGTGATATTGATGCGGAGCATCTTAGCTTATAATGTCCCTTAGGTTATTTTATTTGATTATTACAATTTTGTTACAAGCTTTCTAGAATCTTTTAGGATTCTATAGGTTTTTCTTACATTAGTATATTATATATAGGGTATGTGTAAGAGGAAAGGACTCATTGATGATATATTACTCTCTTTTAAAGCTTTGAAGCTTTGTGTTTCTCATTTTTCCTGGATTGGGATTAAATACTTCTTGCAAGTCGATTCTTCTGACGATCCACTACATCAGTTGGTATCAGAGCCCGGAGCTTGCGAAGAACGATGGACTGTAGAAGGTGGGCTGTCGACGATGATCGAAGCCGAAGAAAATGGGCGGTCAACGAAGATCGACGCCGAATAAGATGGGCGATCGACGAAGATCTCCACCGAAGGAGATGGACGGTCGATGAAGGTCGCCGCCGAAGGATATGGGCGGTCGACGACGAGCGACGAAGCCGAAGAAGAAGGGCTGTCGACGACGAAGAAGACGACTATCCTCGGCTCCAACTTCCACTCCAATGGCGAGATCCGCTGCGGGCTGTCGACCGTGATCGACGCCGTACAGCCCTTCGGGTGGCTCAATTGGAAGCTTCGCTTGCTCGGATTGATGCTCTATTTGTTGATTTCAATCGTTCTTTAGAACGAATATGCACGTGGGCGGACATCTGCACGCACTCGCTCACTCCTAATCTTACATCAAAGGCCGATTATGCACTTGTCCGACCTCCACTCCCGCACGACATGCCACGGCCCGAATCCGCCTCCACCTCAGCGTTCTCCTGCAATCCGACTTCACTCCCTCGGGAAACACCTGAGGCCATCTACCCGTTTCCATTGAATCGAGCTCCTCCGCCTCCGCGGACGACCTTGACTGAAGCAAGCCCGACTGAGCTCCAACGCCTCTTGCCTATGGATGCTGCGAGAAAGACCACTCAATCTCCGCCAACCCCAATTCCACCTCCGCTTTCTCTCACGACCAGAGCTGTGATCTGAAGCCCTTTCAACGTGATTTCGACCCTGACACCACTTCGCTCCGCTTCGGCAAACCCATGCCTGACCTCACACTTATGTGCAATCTGCGCATGTGTTCTATTAAAGAGGAAGTTCTGAAAGGGAAGAAGGACGCGTCAAAGGAAAAATCTATGGATGTATCCTTTGTTCAAATCGAGCTTTACAACAACTCCCTTGCAGGTCACCTAACTGTTAAACCCTCCAACCTCACAGCTCTTCATCAAATTTACGCCCCCATGAACCATTTCTCCTTTTCGATTCCAAATGATATTCTCACCATCCCAAATCATGAAAACCTCCGCCCTTATCAAAACCAGCTGACCGACTCCATTACCAGAACTGCCGCCTCAGAGTCAAAACTACTTGAGCTACATTCGTTGGTGAGCTATATATTAGGCAGTTTTCCAGCTAGACTCGGGGCGCACTTCCATCTCATGTCTGTCAAATTATTCAAAAAGCATCTCTTTGTTGATATTCCGAGAGGAATAGATGTTTGTTGTTTACTGCAGGAGTTGCTTCTTGTAGAAAAAGACTTCACTATAACTCTGCCATCGGGCCTTAGCATAGCTGAAATAACTACAAATGATATGGAAGCGTGTGGCAAAGCCACTGGAAGTGGTAATGTTTTTACTATAGGTGTGAAAATACCCGGTCTGAAATTGATTGCTAAAGATGATCCATCACTATGCTCCCAAGCTGTTCGATGTTATGTCACTAAAGGGTTTTATACCAAATTTGTGATCAACAGGGATAAAGTCAACATAACGCATGGAGACAGAGTGAAGAGCTTGTTGAAATTTAATGAACCAAGAGTTGTTGCAGCTCTTGAATATGATAATGGCATTTTTGCTCCTGGAAGGTGCACAAGCTGCACTGTTGGCGGGAACTCTACTACAGAACCTTACATTATTGCCCACAATCTGATCTTACTTCATACTACTGCAGAGAAAGTATAGCATGATAACTATCAGGTTAGTCAGAAAGGCAGGATATATATTATGCTGGATTTTGTTTGGTATGAACCTCTTACAACTTCAACAGTTGATGAAGCAGAAACTCAAAGGGTGAGGGACCTCCACATCAGATGTTTTCTCCACCCTATAATGTATGGTGAGTATCCAAAATCAGTGCCAGAAATTGTCAAGAAAAGGCTTCCAACTTTCACTAAAGAATAGATTAATATAGTAAAAGGTTATGTAGATTACATAGGAGTTAACCAATACACATCATACTACATGTTCGATCCACATCTTCCAAACAAAGCACCAACTCACTATCGAACATATTGGAATGTTGGATTGGCTTATCAGCGCGATGGTGTGCCTGTAGGACCAAGGGCATTCTTAGACTGGCCGTATATTGTCCCATGGGGAATGTAAAAAGCTGTAACATATGTCAAAGAGAATTATCATAACTCTGAAAATGGAACGGATGATGAGCTAAAGAGGGCAATGGATGAAGGAGTTACATGGAAGAATCTTTTATCTGCATTCAAAATCTTCGATCTAGGCGGACTGAATTTGATGTCTACCATTCGCCGATGACGCGCCTCGACGGAGTCGAGCTCTTTTCACGCAAGGAGAGAATGATGTGGAGCATCTTAGCTTATAATGTCCCTTAGGTTATTTTGTTTGATTATTACATGTTTGTTACAAGCTTTCTAGAATCTTCTAGGATTATCTAGGTTTTTCTTACTTTAGTATTATATATAGGGAATGTGTAAGAGGAAAGGACTCATTGATGATATATTATTCTCTTTTAAAGCTTTGAAGCTTTATGTTTCTCATTTTCTCTGGATTGGGATTAAATCCTTCTTGCAAGTCGATTCTTCCGACGATCCACTACATCAAATATGGATGTAAGCTATCTCATAAGAAGTTGATTCTTCGATCTTGTCTGAAGCTGGTGAAGATCGAGAGGTCTTACAATGTAGGCTTTGTTTGAGATGATTTTCTTATTGCTTCTTAAATTAGTTGTTTAATAAAAAAATTTAATTTTAGGAAAAAGCGGTCCCAAATGAAAGGGGCGGCTTTCTTACCATTTCCATTCAAATTTTAACTTTTGTACTAAAAAATTGCTTTAAGAAAGTGTAAGAAAGTCATCCCAAACGAAGTCATCATCAGTATTTTAGGAAATAGCGGCGGTGTTTAATTTTTTGTGAGATCCTTTCGACTACTTTTTAACTGTTAGTTTTTACTTGTATATCATTGATATAACTAATGTCCAAGTTCAAACATTAACTATGATTTTTTAATTCTCCTCTAAAAAAAAAGTTATCCATAATGATCATACTGATTCAATTTATTTGTCCAGGGATTATTTAAGAATAATGTAGAATTATTTAATGTTTATTTGCAATGCGTAAATACAATCAAATTCACCTTTGTGTGAAACGAGTTAACTTTGATTTGTCATGTACTTAAAACTATGAAATCAATTCAATCTTAACTGGCCCAACTAGCCTAATTTTTAAAAGAGAGTCCCTCTTATATTGGGCATTCCCTTGGGCATGGGAGAGATACGACGACATTGAACCCTATCTGATATTGACGATGAATAAGCAATTATCCATGTAAGGGGCGTTAATGATCCTCATGATCGTGACAATGTATATGCTTATGCCTAAGTATGGTGTTTTGAAATTGTTCGAAAATAAAACTTGTTCAAGTGATTGTTGAACTAGATGATTCTAGGTAAGGGCATATAAGATTCAAATTGGTGGCAAGTTAGTTATTCATACTTGTTTTGAGGGTCAAGTCATACTAGCTTAACTATCTCATTTAAAAATTGACAATGCTAGAAATGTAGTTAGGCTTAGCGTACCATGGCGTGAGACCCTTCTTGATTTGGAAGTTTGTTAAGTGTGAAATCAAGAAAACTTTAATATCTAGCATAAAGATTAAAAATAGGACCAAGGTCTTAGGACTGGTCGATAATTTTTTTTCAATCCTTTTCCACTTGAAATAATAAGCAAAGTTATGTGTTAGAATAACAAACATTTCAATTTTTTCTTAAATTGAGGGGTTCTCTTGGTTCATCACATCCTAAGGTTGGGTTAAGGGGCTTATGATCAATTCATATTTTCTCAGGGGATGTATCCCCTATAAGAGGGATATTTTGGTCCCTTATAAGGGATTTATGATGTACTTAAAAATTAACTGATGAGAGGGATAATTTGTTTGATTAAATGACACATAAGGATAAGTTATTCACTAAATCAAATGGTGGTATACAAACTCACTATAGTAGTCTAATCATCTAAACCTTGTATGATAATACATAAGTTGGGGCATAAGGACATGAACGCACTAATAAAGTTTGGTCATATTTTTTATCAACAAATGTTATTTAACTCTTTTTCAACATATGTGACATTTTTTATTCATACACACCATGGGGTTCCTTTATTGGCATCATCTTTTTTGGGACGTATAATTGGCTCTTAATGCTTGGACTTGCTTAGCTTAAGTTATTATTATTATTATTATTTTTTGACTAGACTGAGTTAATCATTCTTACTGCTACTTCATATACACATGATTTGAAGTGTATTACAACACCTAAAGAGAGGTTGGGGGGGGGGGGGGGGGGGGGCGTGAATTCATAATATATATTTTAATTTTAATTAAAATTTATTTTATGTTATTTTATTTCAAATTAATATAAGCAATATGAAACAATTTGATATCAACTATTTTTATGTAGCCCAATCAAACAATGATATCCATCGATATGATAATGGCTATTTTGATAGTCCAATCATATAATAGAACATGTATCATATAATATGTTATGACTTCTTACATGCGGTTTTTTTTTACATAATTGATTTACGTGACCTTTACTAGTAAAAATTCCTATCACACAATATGATATTTGATTGTATAGTAAGTTGTAGATTATGCATTATGGACATCGTACATACCATTGCTAAATTTTAATTCTCATTAACTAACCCCAAAAGACATGATTTTCATAATAATTAGACTATACTAATTCAAGAATTCAATACAAATAAAAAGACTAAACTTTGAAACATGACACAATCACATAAACATAAGAAATATTAAACAACAAACAAAATATATGAAATAGTAAATAAAAATAGTTTTTTCATGGTTTAAGCACTAATATCAATAACCCCAACTCTAGTTCTAAAGATGCTAAATTTATTATGACCTAGTGATTTTATAAAGATATTTGCCAACTAACTTTCATTGTAAACAAGTTTGAATATTATATCACCCTTTGATATGAGATCTCTAATAAAATGATCGTGAATATTAATATGATTTCTTTTCGAAAGTTAGAGATGGTTCTATGCAATACAAATTACACTAGTATTATGCAATACCTATTGTTCTAAACTCATGTAATTAATGAAATTTTAGAAGAATGTTATTTAAACTTAATTTAATTAGTTATTATAAGTCCTATAATGCATAATTGATCATGAATAAATCCAAAAATTAAAATTGAAAAAAAAATTCAAGTTGCCAAAGTACTAGGAGCATCGACGCATTGGGATGGCCATTACTATAAGGGTGGTGCCACCGCGGTGCTCAACTCTCAAGTTTGAGAAATTTTGGAGCATCTAGAATATTCTACTTGAGCGTAACAGTACTAGGAAGGTTTGTGCTGAGTGTGTATATATATAAAATATCTCAAACTATTTTTCACTCACCCTTTTGCAAGACATCTTTTTGGATAAGGGAGAAGATGAAAGAGAGAGAGAGAGAGAGAGAGAGAGAGAGAGAGAGAGAGAGAGAGAGAGAGAGAGAGAGAGAGAGAGAGAGAGTTAAAGGCTGTAGCTCAAGATTCATTTATCAGGTTTGTTAAGGGTTTCATATAGCTTAATGAAGACTTTTAAATTCCTATCTCAAATTTTAATTCTAGAAGTCAATCACCAAAAAGGGGGGGGGGGGGGGGGGGGGGGGGGGGGGGGACGCCACCCCCCGGCCTAAATTCTTTTGCATAGTCCGGAGGCCAGCCACAGCAGAGCTGCGGGACATTTCTTTGCTACGCACCTCGCCTGGCGCCCTTCCCGGACCTAGCAGCAGACGGGCGGGCCGGGCCTGAATTTAGAGCGGACCAGACTCTTTTTTGTTTCAGCTGCTCCCACGCATGTAGACCGGAAGATCTCAGTTGTAAAGTCTATATGTATTCTTGGTTTTTACAATATTTTTACTATATAACTTTTAGTGTGTTGTTGAATGCTTTATTTTAAACATTTTCCTATAAGATGTTAAATTTATACTGGTTCGATTTCTCTAAATTGAATTAGGGGAATATTAAATAAATGAGGCACTTTAAATTTATATATATAAAAGCCTTGAAACACTACTATGGATATTTCTTTGAAATTATAATTTGAATAAAATAGTTTTATAGGTATGTTTTTATCCACACAATATGAATTACTATCTATAATTATGGTACTTCATACATCATCTTAATTTCTTTTAAACTAATATTTACTTTCTGTTGCATTCAAATTGAATTACTCATGGCATGACATTAGTGGAACTCAAAATTATGTGATATAATAAGTGTACTATTAATGATACAAGTGCCCTATATATTATGTTCTTGCCCCATTTCCCTTATGTGAATGCGAGAGAGATTCTAGCTCCAATTACTGAAAGCAAGTGTAGGAGGTTACTCTATTCTATTATGGTCCCACTAGCTATATACATGTCTGGGAGATTAAAGGAAGTTATCTAGGATGGGTAGTTATAAAAAAACATCAGGACATGTGCATTTGACTCATGTATTGTCTAATTTATCAAATAAAAAATTAATTATGAATGATGTTCTGAATTGGTTTTGGTAAATTTCGATGATTCTGAATGAATTATAAAGAAATGGGAAAATTAAGTATGAAAAATATTATGATATCAAGTATCCTCTAACATCTCAACAAAAATAATAACAACAACATCAAGCCTTTATCCCATTACGTGGGGTCAGCTACATGAATCCTTTTTCTCCACTGTGTCCTATTAAAGGTCAAATTCTTATTTAAATCTAATAAAGAAAGGTCATTCCTAATATTTTCTAACCAAGTCCTTTTAGGTCTGCCTCTACCTTTCTTAACATAAGTCAAATCTAATACCTATACTCTCCTAACCAGGTCATTGGAAGGCCGCCGTTTTATGTGACCAAAC